CGCGCCTTGGCCTCAGGCCCCCTGCTCCCAGCGGCGGCCTTGCCGCCGCCATGCCGGTGTGGGAGCAGCGGCTGCTTCCCCCGGCTCTGAGGTGTGTGGCCTGCCTCGGTGTGGAGGACGCTGGCCTACATGCTTTGCCACCTCCGTACCCAGAAAGAGGTGGTCACACAGGCAAAACCAAGCAATTCCCCCCATCTTTAAGTTCTGTTAAATATGCCTTCTTTTTCCATTTGGAAATTTATTGTACAGGTGGAGCTTAAGGCCATGAGTTACTTGGTTGACACTCCTGGATGTTTGGCAGGTTAGTTAAAGTGGTAATTTAGTGTTGCAAGTGCCAGCCAAGTAAATCACATATGCCAGCTCAGGTTCAACGCTTACAACCAGTTCTTTACAGAAATACGACAGGCCTATGCTTATCCCATTCAAGAGACAAGACTGTCACTTCATTTGCGCTTTCTCAGTATGTACTTGCTCTGTCCTTTCCAAGAATGCAGGTGGAGATGCTTTCACATGCAACTTCACTGTCCGAAAGGATAGTTAGAGAAAATCTGTTAAAGATTAGCAAGAAAAGATATTCCTCTGTGGGTCAGTCACAGAGCAGCATCCTCCATCGTTAGAGAATATAGTTGTGCAGCAAGCGTTCACGTGCTCTCTGTTTTCATTCCATATCAGAATATGTGCTTTGCTTAAACACCATCCCAGAAGACAGATGAGGACATAGAAGCTAATATTTTTTATATAGAAGCTGACTTTTTTATTCCAACCCTGGTTTTGAGTGAAGGTAGAGTAACATTTTTGTATAGATGGAGGATAGAGTCCTTGATTCATATGATGTCATTCTCTCTAATTTACACAAAAGAGGAACTCAAAAGCTGGAGGTATGCATAAAACATGTACATCTTGAGAGGAGGAGAGACCATAGTACCCACAACATTGTTCCACCAATTCTAAGGAAGAGGGGTAGTTGCATGTCCATGTTTCTCCCCCTTCTGACATCAGTGCTGTCTTCCAAGTAGTAAAGTCAAATGTAAACAGTAAAATCTTCTTGATTTAGACATTTGGAGACTGAGGATGGCAGAATTCTCTTCCTTTGGATAGTAGATGAGAAAGCACCCAGAGTAACACCTTTTCTTGTCAGTTTTGCAAGTGAACGTGAGATGATAAACGTTACTTACAAATCTTCCCTTAATACTACGTACAGATCCTTTTCAGATAAAGAAAAAAACTTAATTTCTTGTCCAGAATGAAGAGCATATGACATTTTATTAATATTTACTCCTAGAAAGTTGAAATGTTCACAGAAAGGAGTAGAATAAACCCTCTAGTAGGAAAAATTCTTTCTTGTTTGGTACTGCTTTTGTTTGGCGGGAGGGGTTTGCTGAATAAACTGCTTGACATTTGATTTATAATGACTATTTATTTTTATTGCATTCTATCTAGACCTCTATTCTGGAATACGAAGGAAAATCCAAGTAGTTCTAACTAATAGTTAGATGGATAATGGCATGACTGCATGTCATGGTGGTCAGTGCCATCTTGCTTTGTTTTTAATTGCTCTCATCTCTGAATCTTTCTGGAACTTATTGGCTCATTCTTAGATGGCAATCTGTTTGGGGCAGGGATTGCTTTTTTGTGATTATTTTTAGAAAACATGCAACCAAGTGGTCTTGGTCCCTAACAAAGGTCTCTAGTTGTTCCAAAACCAGAAACATAATAACAGATTGCAGATTTAATTTTAAGTCTTATTTGACTAGTACCAAATTATAAATGCCATCCAGCATCTGTTTGATTGGAGTTAAATGAATTAGTTGAGTTCAGTTCATGCCACAGAAAATAATCCTTGTGATTGAAGTATTTGCATTTTTGTTGGTCATATTAGTAGTGGTGCCAGGCATCAGTTTGTGCATTGGAAATTGGCACATGTTTATGCTGTAAAAGATTTGTAACACTTGGCAGATTAACATAGGTCAATAAAGAACAGAGGTTGTTGATATAATTAATTTTTCAAATATTCACATTTAAAAAGCATGATTTGTAAATTATTTAAGATATATCATAAAGTGTGACTGCTAGACTGGTACAGCACTAATGTATTTCTTTGCTAAAGATGTGCAATAATGCAGCAATTTTGTTTAAACAAGACTTCCAGTAGGTGATGTCTGCTTTTCTTCTGGTTGGGTACATTTTAGTTGTGACTGTGGAGGGTCTGAGGATGCATAGCATAGGCCTGAATAACTTCTGCTTTTTTATAATAATGTATTAATTTTTTTCTAAGATGCTTCATGCTGAAAGTAGAGTAAGGCTCTTGGAGTGTCAGGATGAAATCACAATTGAACCATGTTCTAAAAAAATGAAGTCAACAGAAGGGGCTTACGAGAAGCTCTCTGATGATGATAACCAAGGTATTCGAGAGGAAGTGGACACTGAGAGAACATCAAATGATTTGATACCAGCGTTTGCCTCAGATAACCAAGGGCAACATGAAATGCAGAAGCAAGAGAAAATACCTACTGGTATCTTGGGAACACTGAGTGAAGAGCTCCCTGAATATAATCTAGTGCTTAGTCAGCCAATTGATTCAGAAACTGTGCAGAATGTAAATCTTCCATTTGCATCAATAAATGACACTGAAGTTGAAGAAAAGAAAGGCCCTTTTATTACAAACAGTGCTGGTGAAGATAATATTAGAAATAGCAGTACATCATTCTCAGTAAATAGAAATGCATCAGATGAAGAGTTTTTTACAAGCAAAGAATTTATCGGACCGATTTACAAGCCTGCCGAAAGTAACAAACAGGACAAATCTGGCAGTTGCAATGAACGTAAAAGCAGCGAGGGAGATCAGAATGAATTGGATGAAAACGGAGCTAAAAGAAAGGAGGCAAAGAAGATGCAGACTATTTCTTCTGCTGTACCAGAAATAGATGATGAACTAGACCAGTTCTATAAAGAAATTCACCAGCTGGAAAATGAAAATTTAGATACTAATTTTCAGGAAAAAGAAACTGAAACTTCTCAGGAACAATACTCTCCATATAACTGTAGTCAAACGTCACAAGAGGATTATCAACATGTATTGTTGGGCAGCCCACAACCATTTTATGAGAATGGACAGTGTTTCTTTGGGGAACAGAACAGTCAGAAAACAAGCAATGAGCAGCAGTTTGTTGTAGAAACAAGTGGCTGGAAAACTGAAAATACCTTTAATGGACAAGTAGATTCTAAATATTGGAACTACTCAGTGCCTGAATTCAGACCTGCTTGGCAGTTAACAGAGTCTTTCATAGTACCTCAGGGACCTCTTCCTCCTAGATTCAACTATCAATCGCATTTTCAGATACTTAATTCCCCACCACAAAAAACAAATGCTCTCCCTTCTCAGAATGGTGAACTTTCTTACAAAAATTATCATGGTTACCATGGAAATACCGATATCAACAGCCATGGTCCATTGCTTGATCAAAGTACCAACTATGCTGGTCATATTGATATCCATGCTACTCAGGTCTTCAGAAATGGAAATAATGACCAGAACGGACTCCGAAATAATGACCAGAATGGACTCCAAAATAATGGTTTCTGTGAAACCAGAGAAGAGTGTTGGAAGGATCCAAAAGCTGACAATACAGAAGGAATGCACAGCTTTTCTTCCTTGCAGTTACCTGGAGAAAGGTTCGGTTGTTCACAGAAATTGCTCCTAATCTTAAGAGGCCTACCTGGTTCAGGGAAATCAACACTTTCTCGGTAAGTAAAGATTTAAAGCTTGGGAAGCTTATTCAAATAAAAATTTTTAAGAATTAAAAAAAAATAATATCTCTAAGCACTTGGCAAACTTTGGTATTTGTAAATTAAGCTATTAAAATGCAGTAATTTTTACTTAATGAGAACATATGACAGTAAATATAAAAAAAAAGAGGGTTTTTTGTCTCCTTTAGAGTTTTGATGAACAGGAGCTGTTTTATGTTAAATTTAAAATGTACTGTATCTATTAAATTGCATAATCTCTTATTCTGAAACTTTCAGGTGTACTAGTATGGGATGGTCTGCCTCTTTTTTTTTTTTATTCTTAAATTCCTTCATTTAAAAAAAATCTTCTGTCAAATCTAGCAGCATTAATTTGACTGAACCAGAAGTACTTTTTTATGCCTTTGCAAAAATCTTCAAAGACCATTAGAAGAATTTTGCTACTCTGAAAATACTTAATTTGTTTTCAGTGTGTTTATGAAACTGAGCATAATCTCATTCCCTTTTTTTCATACTATGGTCTGTCAACTTCTCTGTTTATTTGTGAACGACACACAAGAAAAGTATTATTTTCCGTTAAAAATATATTTGTTGAAGTCTGAGAGGTTAAAAGCAAGTAGCACCTCCAACTTGGATTTTCACCTTTGTTTTTTTTTTGGCCTAGTTTAAAAAGCACGTAAGTCGACATGGAGCACAGACATTATCTGTGTTAAGTGAAAATAGGTTTCTCTTGCATACAAAAAAAAAAAAGTTGTTACTATATCAGTACTTACTGATTGAGCTTCATCCACAAACTGTACATCACAAATTGGATGTCTTCTGTGGTTATCTTCTGTTGTATGCTAAGAGTCTATTAAATAGGTACGGTGATCATGTTCTTTGTTTTATGTATAAAGGCATGACCTTGCTGCTTGGTTTTTTTTCCCTGATATTTAGGAGACTATGATCTCCATATCATAGGAAAATACCTATTAGAAATCTCTAGCTTACATATTTGTATAATTTTAACTATAACATTGTCTAGTTACTGAGTGCTCTGTTTTGCAAACCTGCATTTCTGAAGCTGCATGAGCCTGTGTGGGTATTATTACAATAATTTCTTTAATATATGAAAGCAACACAGAAGATTAGAAATAAAAAACCCTGTGGAAAAAATGCTGCCTCATTCAGTGCAGGAATTGGATAATACTTAATGTGAAGATACCTAATAGAATAGAATATTTTGTTTTCCATGTTTTGTGTGCTGAATTGTCTTTGAATCTTTCTCCAAATATGTTGTTATTTGAAAGATTCTAAATATCTTCAGGTTTTTGTGAACACATATTCTTGCTTTTTTCATCTCTTGCTAGTGAGATCAATTACTAATTTCATTTAATAGATGGGAAAGTGGGCACTATGAGATCAAGGTCAAGAATAGTCAACCAAATTTGGGTGCAGAATTTGAACTGCTTAGGACTTGTTTTTCAGTGTATTCAATTATATGCAGTTTCATATGTTCAAAGCTTGGTTGCAATTGTTAATTCCCATTAAATCATGTCTGAAGGTCTCAGGTACCTGGTGGCGAGAGGGAACCCAGAATTAATGTCTGCCTATGAGGAAAATATATGTATTATTAATTAAGTCATTATTAATATAAGTTGGCTGTGTTTGTGTGTGTAACATCATAGACTTCTGCAGTGTAGACTAGGACAGCAAATACAGTCTCCTGATGTCATATTAGTACCCACAGGTATCTTTGCAGGCTTGGCATCTTTAGCACCTGCAGACAAACTTCTGCAACTTGTGCTAGCAAAACGACTGTGAAGGAAAAGCAGAAAATTGACATCATCTGTGCGGATCAGCACTAGAAGGGAATGAGGTGCATCTTGCAAGCATGAAATGACAGCAGAGCAGTAGTGAGACCCAGGAGTCTTGAATTCCTATCTGCGTTTTGTGCGAAGTGAGAGTTTGTAAGTACAGGCACTTTTCCTCCTGCTCCCAAACTTGGCCCATGTCTGTCCTGAATCTTCCACTGAAGTCTGTGTCTTGTTTTGACTCTTCCATGTCAACTGCTTGGAATCACAGGCATGTTTTTTGGAAGAGGCTTCTGGAGGTCAACTAGTCTGTCGTTCTGCTTGGAGCAGGTCTGTGACCATTGTTGGATCAGATTAGCTGTGTCTTTGTCTTGAAAAAGCTACAAGTACAGAGATTCCACAGTCTCTCCAAACTATTCTGGTGCAGTACTACCCTTGTAGTAAAGAAGTTCTTCCTAATCTCCAAACTGAGGTTCCCAAGCCATAATTTGTCTGTGTTCTCCTGTGTTATACCATGTGCTGTTACCTGGTAGAATCTGGCTCATCATCTTTGCAGTTTCCCTTCAGGTAAGCGGATAGGCTTAGTCACTGTAATAGGCTGATATCAGATGGCCTTTTACTGTCTTCATTGCCAGGCTAAACAAGCCCAGCTGCTATTAACCTCTCCTCATAGGTCATATGCCCTTAGCCATCTTGGTAGCCATCTGTTCAACCCTTTCATGGTTGTCAGCATGTCCTTTGAACTGGGAAGCCCTAAGCTGGACACAGTATTTCAGAACTGACCGCACAAGAGCCAGGTAGAGTGTGGATGATACCTTCCATTGATCTACTGGCTGCATTTTCTCTAATAAAGCCCAGCATGTGGTTTGCACTTCTTTTCATGAGAGCACACCATTTGCTGATCTCTAGTTTGATGTCCACTGTAATCCTCAGATCCTTTTCAGCAGAGCTGCTCAACCAGTCGCTTTCCATCCTGTACTGATACTTAGGTTTCTTTTTCACCAGTTGCAGAATTTTGCACTTTTCCTTGTTGAGCTTCATGATGTTTTGCTTAGCCCGGTGCTCAAGTTTCTCAGTGTCCTTCTGGATAGAAGCCCTACTGTTCATTATGTCAGGCATCGCTACTAGTTTGGTGTCATCCGCAAGTTCTCTGCCTTATTATCCAGGTTAACGATGAAGATACTGAAAAATTGGTCCTGCTATCATCCCTTGCTGTACTCTGCTTGTTACTGACTGGGACGTGATGTCAGAAGCCTTGATAATTTCAAAGTATGCTACATTCATCACTCTGTCATCATCCACAAAGGCAGTTGTTTCATCAGAGAGTGCATTCTGGTCAGTAAAGAATGATTTGTCTGTTGCAAAATCCACATTGACTCTTCCTGATTACCTTCATTTCCTTCACATGTTCGGAAATAGATTCTGAGAGGAGGTACACCATTGTCTTTCCAGGAACTGAGGTTAGGTGAGGTTGAGCAGCCTTTAGTTCCTTGGGTCCTTGTCTTTGCTTGCCTTAAAGATGAGCATTACATTAGCAGTTTCCTGGTCATTGGGGAGCTCCCCTCATCACCTCAATTTATTTCCTGCATTCACCTAACTGAGACAATCCCAGCCTCCTGATGCTCATTCAAGTTCCTATCTCTCCATCTATTTCCAGTTTTGTTTTCCAATTGCTATCCAACCATGGCTTTTGGTCTGTGCTTACTAGCTTTAAATCTGCTCCTAAATTCCAAGCTGATTTCTCAGTTCCTCCTTCTCCCCCCACTTTCTTCCCAGATTTATCTTGTCCCTGTTTCAGCTGGTGGTATTAACTCATTCCCAGCTTCACTGTACCAATTTCTTCCTTGCGCTTCGCTTTGTCCCCATTTCCTAGCTCTGCTGCCAGTCCCAAGTTGCTTGTTCCAGTGTTTGTACCACTATGCTTCCCATGTCCTTCCTATTTTAGGCCTATTTTGTTCCTTCTCTTGCCATTCTTAAGATTGTGTTGGGAGAAATGCGTTCTTACAATGCAGTATTGCTACTGAATCAGCTTCCTGCCACTACAAGAATGCTCTGTTCAGGAGCGGGCTTACTATCGTGAGAATCTTTGCATTTTCTGCTCTACTTTGTACAAAAATGAGTACTTGTCATTATCATTTTCTGTGCACATGACATTTTAAAGTCCTACAGCTTGGTCAGATTTACAAAAAATTTTTGCAGGAAAACAAATGCATGTACTTTGTCATATTTTACTTCTTCAATCCAAAGCTTCTCAGAGAAAAGCTTGGAATAACGAAACATGGTAAAAATGCTGTACTTCTTCCTTGGTTTTGGAAGTGATTGACCATTTAGTTAGAAATTTTCTAAAACAATTTGGCCAGACAGATACCCAGCAATGATATCTAGTCCAAGTAACAGAAGTCTGCTACAATTAGAAGTAGATGATAATGTGATCTTATAATGCTGGAAAAAGTTACAAGAAAACAGACTTGGATTTTTAGGATATTTTACTACTGAACTTGGCAGCAATTGCAATTTTCCATTCCTCCATAAATATCTGAACGTGAATTTTAATAAAAAGGAGCTTAACAAGGTTGAAAGAACAAATATTGGTGTCATTTAAGAAGTACATTTTGTATTAAATCCATTGTCAGGAGTATATAAAGACAGTCATCTTTATCTGGGGCCATTCTTCCTGAGAGCTCGATCTTCTGAATGGAAGAGTTAGAGTTAGTATTTATAGCTGAATGTAGAAACAGTTGTGTGCTGTTGTTTCTAATTATGTACTTCTTTAAACAGTGTTACAAGCAATGCTTTTAAAGTAGCATTTACATAGCTTAGTAATACTACAGATTTTAAAATTATATTTAGTTATTGTTTGGTTTTTTCCTCATCTGTGGTATGTTAGCTATTTTAAATAGGTGAATTATTAGATTCTAAGATATCTTCTTTATTATAGAATCTTCTATCAAAGTAGGCTAACCAGGATGCAGGTTAGGGGACCATTTTAGTTTTGAAGAAAAATTAAGGCAGGATTTGTGTGTGTGCATGCTTGCACTGGAAAAAAAATGTTTGCTGACTAGTTAAAATGAGCATTTTGGTTTCAAGATGAGTTTTATATGACGAGCTAATATCTTCTATTAGATCAGATAGCATGTCTGGAAAAAGTAGGTGAGCTGCTTTAATTTTTATATCTGCTTTAATTTCACTGTCCTACTGTGTTCAAAGCTGGGTGTTCAATTGCAGGGAAGGTTTAGGGTGAAAAAGCTGGATTACAGCAGTTGGATAGTACCGCTACTCATTTCAGGCATGTGCACATGTTGATGCTGACTGATCTGTAATTTGACTCTCTTACTAGAAATGTATTTATCTTACTTCTTTTCTTTCTCCATCTCTCAAAAGTGGAATATCATCTCGTTGTGGGTTTAGATAGTAATGATGCTTTCTTTGCACAGATGTACTTTTTGTTCTTTCTGTTTCCAAGTTCATGAGCCTGGGATAAATTTTATTTTCAAATACGTGTTAGAAATATGTGAATTATTCCATATGACATCAACAAGTATGTTTGTGTTTTAAATTTTACAAGTTTAAATACTATGAATTCTGAAAGAGGTAATGGTCAGGCTTTTAAAATGTTATGTTTTATGATTTAATTTCACAGTTTAGAAACAGGCTACGATCATTGCTGTAATAATTGAAGTTTCAGTTCATAAACGCATTACTTTGTGATAGCTTGTGTGTTGTGTATAGGGTAAGGGTTCTGTTACTCTGGCCTCTCTGGTAGTCACTTTGCCTTCCCAAATTCTGTAGTTTTAGGAGTATTCTTACAAACATAGTTTACTGTATTAAATCTGTTACATCAGTTATATAGGTTCATAAATAAATTGTTGTGTATTCTGAACTTCAAGGAATAATAACAAAATATTTCAAGAATAAACTTTGTTTATGCGTTTGCAAGGTTCCCGAACCCTTGTCATTGTGTTTCTTTGTTGCTACAACTAATGATGTTTGGAAGATACAACAGAAGAATTTGAGTAACTGAATTATTCTTCAGAACACTGAGCAGAGTCAGTTCCTAGAAATAAAAATAGAAATGAATACCCCATTAGTGCCGTTAGTGTTGATTCATCAGCTCATATATATTCCTACAGAAACCTGATAGTCAGGCTACTAGGAGCTGTAGGGATGTGTCTGTCTACTCAGCTAGCAGAAGAATCCCAGTTATTATTTGCTATCTCTTTTATTAAGGCAGATGGTCCTTATGCTGAGATGTGTGTATATACATTCAGCACACAAAAAGTGAGTGTGGAAGATGGATCCAGTTTTTCTAGCATTATTATTTGGCAAATGTAGCATACTGTAAATAAGAAAATTGGGCCATGTTGAAATCATGGCCAAGTAACTTAATGAATATAAATTCCTGTTAAATATTTTATATAAAAGAGGAATAGATATGAAAAAATGCTATTGTGCGTGGTGTATGATTTAGTGGTGCCATTTTATCTACTTAGAACAAATACAGGCTTTGAATCCTGTGTTCTCCTAAACCAGAGTAATACACATCCTACTAAAAGACATAGGCTCTAACAAAAATAATTATTGAACAATGTCCAAAAAAAGTGGCTGTACTCCTGGTGTCTCATGCTCTGCTTTCGGAAATAGCATTGCTATTTATCCTGAGGTAACCTTAATACTCCGGAAAAGGGAGAAAGCGCAAGAAGGAGAAAACAGCTTGTATGCAGCTTTGATCATGTTACTTGACAGTTGCATCATTGGTAGTTTCTTGTGGTCCTCAGTAATCTGAAATTTGTTGTTACAGATCTCTGTATTTTAAAAGTAAAAATAACCAACAACATAGTTGTGGGACAATAAATGTGTAGGAATGTAAGTTAATACGTAACACAGTGTCCCAGTCTTTAAACTATGATCCATAACAGGTCTGTTGTTGGTGACAGGTGGCAAAACATAGCAAATTCCTTGTGTAGGAATTAAACTTAAGTACCTCTTCCTGCAGATATATATAGGAAAGCTTGGTAACGTAGAACTAACATACATTTGTTCCTCTACATTATTTGGCCAGTTCTTTTCTGTTCCTGCCACCTCAGCAGTGGTGCATCCCACATACTGCTAGTGCAGTTTGGGTTTTGTAGCCTTTGGGTACATTGCCTATTTCTGAGACGGAATAGTTGTCTAAATTTCCATAGGACAGTGATATCTGAGTGTTGCAATGGGCTATAAATGCCCTGTGGCCCTAACTGGCTGTTTTCTATTTTCAAATTTAAATATGCTATAGAAAAAAAAATAGTCAAGGAGGTTTTGTAATCACACTTATTCTGTAGATCAGACTTTAAACAGGATTGTACTATTGTCTCAGTTTTACAAGGTTTTCCTTTAAACCCCAATTTCCAAGGACTTTGTGAAAATAAAGTTTACATTTGGCAGAATGGGGATTGCTCATTAGGATGGATTAATGTGGATTTGATTTGACAGAGATTCTGATGTTATTGATCAACCAGCAGTTAATTATGCCCTGTATGTAACTTTGCTATAATCAGTTTCTCTGACTCACTCTCATTTGTTGGCGTGCCTGGGCAACATATAGGATGAATTTTAGTTAAATCCAAAAGTCAGCTCTGTGATGCTTCTAGAAGGTTTGACTGTGGCATTTCATGACAATGCAATTACAGAATTCTAGAAAAGCTTAATGGATTTTTGTAGCATTCCTACATCACCCATTACAATAACTTCTGTAATTAATAAACATATTATCAGTAATATAAAATATTACAACACAGAGTAAAAATAAACATGTTAACAGTGAACATCGCAACTGTGTCCCTCTGCATTCCCCTTTTTACCCTCATTGGCTTCCCCACAGTCTCTTCTATTGTTTGCTAAAGTATACTTAAATTTCTCCTGTAATCTTTAATGATAGCTGTGCAAGAAGCAGAATGTAATGCAACTTATTCTAACCTACAAATGAAGTAAACTTCTAGCCAGTAAAATATTTACGTTGCTTGGAAATGGCAGGCCTAAAATACTGAGTAAATGTGAAATTTGCATTGTAATCTTTTTCTTTTTTTTTATCTTTATGGATTCTAATTTTAATCTCTGCATTTTATCCATTTGTTTACAAATTTGTTTTGCTTTGGTTTGTTTGTTTCCCCCCAATAAAAAGTCATAGTATTTTTGAGAGAATATTCTGTTAAATTTTGTTGAAATTGGTCTACATGTCCAGAAGTCACCATGGAATGGCATTGCCTTAAGAAACCAAGCTAAAACACTCTAATCAAGTGGTTTAAGTGATTCGAGAAGTGATTGGTTTTCTCCTGATTTGAAGTAATGCATGCAGGGATAGTAAAAGGCATGGTTTTCCTATCACCCTGTTAGCACTGAAGTATGAATGATAGGGAAAAACAACATAATTCCCTGATAGAAGCTGAGATAGGAAAAAATTCTATCTTAAATTTCTTGTCATCTATTAGACTGAAACTGCAGTTCTACAAGATGTGGTAACCCATGTAGCAGGTTACTGCTGCTCAACCAGGGGAGGTCTCCATTGATACTTAGCCACTTTTAATGTATCACCTTTTGGGGCCTTTTCTTAAATAGGCTCAACTGCTAAAGCTTCAGAAAAGTAACCCAGAAAAAAAAAAGAGAGAAAAGGATTGCTTTCTTCTGAGTATGAATTCCAGTGGCTTACAGATCCAGGGAGTGCCAGAGTTGATGAGAAAATAGAGGCAAGTAAGACTGTGTCACAAGGACTGGGGGAGAAGACATAGAACTGGAATAGAAGAGTATAGGATCTTGAAGGAATGTGGACACTCTTCTGTAATCCTGACTTTCATTAGTAGGGCAATCTTGAAAGTTTATTGTGCTCTTTTACTTTTTCCTGAAAATAGGGAAATTGCTGTAAACATTAGTAGTTTTCTTTTGCTGTTCCTGTTTGACCCATGTTACATGTGCAAGCAGCATGGGCAAAGGCCAGAAGAGGGCATGTTGAGAGTTTAAGGTGCTGAAAAAGTATTTTAAAATCCAGTTAATTTCTCAGCTGCATCCAGATTCCTCATGATCAGATTGGTTTCTAGAGATAATTCCAAATGAGAATTGATATGGAAAATGTTAGTAAATACATTAAATTACTACAAGGTACTTAGAATTATACTTAGAAGGCAACTATATTGCTTTAATTTGGATTAGAATTACTGGTAATACATATGAGTGTACCTGTTTGAAGTTTGCAACAAGTTCAGAAATAGGGCACAGTTAAATTTATTTTAGCTATATTTTTTTCCTGTGTCTTTTTTTTTTTAATCTGAAAAATAAAAGTTAAAATATTTTTGCGTTTTCCTCTGTTTAACAGTATTCTGCTTGGTCAAAGTCGTGATGGCATTGTATTCAGCACCGATGATTATTTTCGTCAACAAGATGGATATACATATAATGCTGCTCAGCTTGGTGATGCCCATGACTGGAATCAGAAGAGAGGTTTGAATGCATAAGAGGAATCCTATTAAATTATGCTTATGTTTAGAAAACAGAAGTATAACATAATGTGCATGTGTGTTAACAGTCCATATGAAAAGGAGTATGTATATGTTTTAGTATAGGGTGTATAGAAGTATATCTTTCAAGTATTCTTTATATTTTAATTAATGTATATGTACACACTCAATTTTGAACTTATAGAAGGTTCAGAGTTAAAAATAGAGATTCTCCTCTTTGTGCTATGACCTGCTGATTTGTTACATTTGATACTAGTATCTTGGTGGTGGAATTTAACCTTTTTAATGCTGACAACAGCAGAGTATCCTATTTTTTTCCAATATCTTTCCTGATCTGAGGTTCATCCAAAATTTACGGAAGAGTTTTTCTGAGGAAGATTTTAGTTCACTTGTGTAGATTAACAGCTTTGATAAGTCATCTTTCTTAATACCTAGCAGTGTCCAAAGGTTGGGTATAATTGGTAGATACCTGGGGTAAGAAGGGTAGCAGACAGATTCTTGTTCTTTCTGTAGCAGTTTCCTAAGGATCTCGTTATCTGTTTGGTCTGCTCCAAGGAGTGGACAAACCGAACAACTCCATTGCCTGTGTATGCAGATTACTCTCTGTGCTGCAGTGTCTCAAGCAGAAGCTTCCTTCCCGTCTACTACTACAGGACTACTTCTTTGCATCAAAAGACACAGAGGACCAATGAAAAAAAAATACTCTCCCCTTTCCTCCACTCCTCCCCCTAATCCAGATTTATGATACACTGTATGAACAGTGAAGGAATTTTTTAGAGCAACCGTTAGAATATCAATTATAAAGAGCGCTTTTGAGGTTGGAGTGCAGCAATAAAATACTTTGAATGAACTTCGCAGTAGGAGCCTAAGGAGCAGAAGAGTTGATAAGGTAGTAGTTTATGGATGAGAGGGCTCAGCACTTCACAGTTCTAAGACCACCAAACAATTCTCACTTGATAATGGCTTCTGGCTGTTTCTGACTAGACGTCAAGATCTCTCTAGTTCTGTATCACTTAGTTACACAGTGTTTTTGATAACCAGAACAGTATGTAATTTAGTTATTCAGTGATTTTTGATAGCAAGAACAAGAACAGCTGTGGCGTGTTGTATAAAACACCCCCACTGCGAAACATTTGCCAGAATAGCTTTGGGTTGAAGTTATACTCAATTCTTCCCTCCTGCTTTGACTAGATAGAGCTCTCTGACTTGAAGTATTTCGGAAGCTCTTGGTTTCATTTGTGTGTGTATCCTTGAAATACATGAAATGAGAACTTCAGGGGAATGGTAATCTTGATAGTTGGGATTCTTGTCTGATGAGTAGGTCTAGGTTAAAGTTTCATATAGATTATATCAGCTGCATAAGTTATTTATATATTTGCTAATATTCGTATGGCAACATATTTAGCTAGAGCTTTATAATCCTCATGTGAGAATTATGGAGAAGGCAAAAATTTACATTCTTCACAAAGCAGAAAATTATTCTGTTAAAATTATCCTCCCTCCCCCCATTTTTGGGGAGGGAGTGAATCTATAATATAGAAAGTATGAGAAAAAAATAGTGACAAGTGAGACCCATTAGGGAAAAAAATAAATTTATTTTAGATTAACAGAATTTCAAACTCTCAAATGTTTATAAGACAGTGAATTACATAGCCTTGATACTAAAACACATACACATTTAATGTGAAGGTTGTAAGGTCAGTTGCACAAATATTAGGAAACACTAGAATTAATTTGCCACTGCTACTTTAATTGTGAAATCAGTGTCACTCTTACAGGGTTTTAGGCCCTTTAAGTTCACTTTTGTGGCTTTGCTAAGTGTCTCCGATTTTAGTTCATCCTGCCACTTCTACTGGAACTTTTGGCTGTTTTTAATGTTGTTGATGTGACAGATCGAGTTGGGGTTTATTTGCTTTTTAAACTCTGTTTTGGTTTGGTTTGGTTTGGTTTTGACAGTGACTAATAAAATTAATTAATTAGTAACTTTTTTACTTTTAAGCAAAACTTCATCTAAGGTATTACATCAGCACACTTAAGACTTAGATGCATAGTTAAAACAAAATGGTAGAATACGTAAGTGGGTTGTAGCCGTAATACAATCTTTCTTCACAAGCTTTTGTAAATTAATGATGGTCCCATTATCTTCATTACAAAATTGGCTATTCTCTTGCTACCTTTATGAATCTTTTCTGAAATGCAGAAATGAGGGAAAAATCCCGAAATATGTCAGCCTACTGCTTTTACTTTCTAGATTCAGGTTTCAGAAAGATCATTTGTGCCAGGTTAATGAAGCCAGGGCAATATATTTTTAATTTTTTTATAGCTTTTTCCATTGATTCTTAGTGCTCTGTTGGAACATATTTTATCTTTGCTTTTTTCCTCTCTTCCATCTACAAAGTTACTTCCCTGCCTGTTCATTTAATCTCTTCCCATTGTGTGGATTGATTTCCATCAAGATAAATCCCTAGTTCTCTCCAATAACTTAGGGTTTTTCTTCCTTCAGATCCCTGCTTCATTCAGTGTACAGATTGAGCAGTGTTCACTAAATGGGCAGGTATTCAACAGATGTGTTTTTTTAATCCTCACACTCATTGTGGATCTCGCTTTTCATTTAATGCATACTATTTTAACTATTAATTCTTCTAGAAACTTTTTGTATGAGTGTTATTTTAGTATTTCGAGCTTCAGATATTTCAGTTCTTTCATCCAGTTCATCATCTTAACTTTCCTGTGAGCACTAGTGGTGTTATATTCTGAATTTTTCATTGGCAAGCTAAGGCACAGTTGCTAAAATATCTTCCTATTTTGGATGCCAAACTTAGCAACTTAGATATTTTCTTCAGGGTATGTAGTAGTAATTAAACTTCATATATTCAGAATAAATTTTCACTGTCTTCATATTCAGATGAGTTCATATCACTTCTGTAAATGATACCTGTAACTTTGGAATTGGGCAGCTAGGAAATGAAGATCATGCAAAGTAGCGGCCACTTGGACAGAGGTGGGATGATATTCAAGAACATTCACCAAAAGATGATCCTTCTGCCTTTGCAGTCATCCTGACTTACTCATTATTTATCTCACAATTACCTCAAAAAAAAAAGAGGAATGCTTGGGTCATGCTGATGATCTGATACATGCCCCCAATTCAACTACAGAATAAGTCCATCACGTGCTGAAAGAGATAGGGGTATGTGGGAGGAAATAGTGCACAAACGCATATTTAAGGACACTATGGTAATACATATGCCCTATAATTACTACACACCCAGCCTTAATTCGGGTGTTTCCTAAAGTTCAGAGTTCTGCTTTGCAACCATAATGCTTTTTTTTTTTTTTGCTTTTGCACCCTTTTTGTGTCTTTTAAAAGAAGGACTGAATCCTTGCTCTTTTCCTATAAGAATTTTGAAATGTGAAATTCTTGATGTGTTTGCGGCTCATATTGCTTAAAACTAACTAAAAAAATATTTTTTTCTTGGCTTCAATGTGCAGCATCAGAGCAGTTGATTTTTAATTTTTTTTTTTAAATGGAATTCATCTTCACAATGCTTCTGTAAAATAGATAAGGAATTATTGTTATGTTTTTACTGATTAACTGAGGCACAAAGAAGCTGAGGAATAGATTTTATAAAAGCCTTACATTCAATTGTAATATGCTTTAGAGTAGTTGTAGGAGGAGTTGAGGAACCTTCTTCATGAATCTGATAATCATAAGTTGGAAATCTGCTTCTCCATCTGGCTTAGTTTCAGGCTGCAAAAAGAACCTCATTTACTGATTCATGCACAAAGTAGTTCTTTTCTGGAGATGTAAAAGTTGTGTCCCTTTCTGAAAAGAATGTCAAAGGCCTTGCTTTCAAAATAAAAAGGTGAAGGAAGTTAAAACAGTGAAAATTAAGGTAGCCCATTTGTCCCAAAAGTGGGATACTCAAGTACCCTCTCTAGGTACTCTCCTCTGGAGGAGTTCCTTCTGAACTTCTGGTAAGAATAGCTTAACTGCTGTCCCGGTTTGTATAAAATGGAGGTGGATATCAAGCTGATAAGGGTATAGAACTTGAGTTTTTCTCTTCCTTGGGTAAGTCTCCTGTGTAGCATTATGTAGAAGCTGAATGTCATAATCATGCTCTCTAGATTTGCTCAAAAAAAGTTGTTGTGCAATGTTGTTTTTTTCAAAGACAGATCCTAGTAATGTGAGTTAGGAGTCCTCTGAGAATGCTTTCTGGACTGTGTAAGGGATTTAGAAGAATGCCTGATCTCAAGATCAAAGTTAGGTTTAGGCATAAGACAGATGCTTAACTGATTTATCAAAACTAAAGCAGTCTTGGGCTTATGAAGAGATACCATTTTAGGCATCAGAGTAACGTTAAAATGTTTTCTGTGCTGTGGAGCTGATGAATCTCAGGTAGCCAGCAGATTTGGGTGTTTTGTTCCCTAAACTCCTCCAACCAATCGCGGTTCTGCACTATAATCTCTAGGATGCTTCTGCTGGGTAAGAAGCAGTATAGTCTTGCTGGTCCAAAGTTAAAAGCATGCTACTGCGTAAGTGTCCTGCCAAACAAATTGCATCATGGCTGTGCTCTGTCTGTCTTTCCATCAATAAAGATGCTAATTTGGATGTCCCTTCTTACCAGTTGCTGTTTTGTAGAACTCGGAAGCAGCTTATTATTCCTGAAGCTTCTGCCCTCTTTTGGATTTGGTAGAAATTAGCCAATGAGTTCAAACATTATTCAAGCAGAGATAGCATGGTTGTAATTTTTTTTTAATGGATCTCAGAAATATTTCAGATATGCGATGTCTTTCTGTGAAGATCACCTATTTCTCAGCATTTTGTTGGAGAAAAACTGCAATACCTAACCACAGGTCTCAGTTATGAATGCACTATGTGTTATCTGGCAGGGCTGGTAAAGCTGGAACCAGGATATGGTTTCATGCCAGGATCTCTATACTCGGCAGGCCACAGACTGAGCAGTTCTGTTGTGTTGCTTTGACTTCTACACTTCCCACTTACCCGTTTGCATCAATTCACCACCACCTCTTTTTGTGTGCCCTTCACTTAATTTTTCTTACCTTCTTGCTTCTACTTCTTTCCATTCCTGTCTCTACCTTTCAGTGCTTTTATTCCTTTTCTTAGAATAGTGTGTTTCAGTCAGACTAGATTAGTGCAAAAGACATCTGGAACAGCTTGTTTGCATTTACCATTTTATTTGAGTTACATAGTTGTTTATTAATTTGCACTATTTTTCACTACAGCAAAGCAAGCAATGGAGCAGGGAAAATCTCCGGTTATAATAGACAACACTAATACTCAAGCCTGGGAAATGAAGCCATACGTGGAAGTGGTAGGTTTTGTTGTGTGATTATATCATCTGTTATAACTTTTCAAACTTACCTTCAGATGTGATAAGTTCGTCTGTTTTGTCCAGAAACATTTTCCTTACTCAAGTTTCTAAAGAGAGACTGCTTATTGATACGATCAGTAATTGGTACGGCAATAGTTCAGACCAATTTAAGGATTGACTTGGTCTAATCTGCTTAGCCTGGAATGAAAGCTAAGGTGGGTTGGGGGTAAGTGAAATTCAGCATGCTACCGCCGCAGAGTTAACTACATCTGTTTATTATACTGGTCTATAAACTTTTTGTTACATTTTATGTAATAATGATACACATATCACACATTTTTCTTTGCTTGCTGCAGGCTCTAGAAAAGGGATACAGAGTGGAGTTCCATGAGCCAGATACTTGGTGGAAGTTTGATCCTGAAGAATTAGAAAAGTAAGGTTTATATTACAGAAATCATTGTACTTATATATATAGACAGATAAATATGCAGACATAGATATATATGTAGTACGTTATATTTTATTCAGTATCTTATTTCTTTAAATACTTAACTACTAGTATAAAATGTATTTTATTTAAATAGGCATTTTGAGATATACCTTTAAATGGAAGTGTTATGGATAAACAAACAGACAAGTAAGTAGAGGTCCTGTCTTGTTGGCCCAAAAAGTCGATGTTAAAATTTTGTTGGACATGAGTAGAAAAATGATTGACCCCTGTTAGAATCGCTGCTATTATAATGAATAATTATTCTGGAAAATTGGCGCTACAAAATGCTGACAGCAAGAAATAGGTAGAAGAGAAAAAGAAATTACATCTTTTGCAAGGAGTGCATCAATATAAGTGCTTTGTTTTGTCTACTTTTATAGATGTCTTAGTGTCGAAGAACAGCAGTCCATTACTAATCAGTAAAGGTTAAAAAGAAGCTCATATTTTAGATTATTCTACTGCAAGATTTTGTGAAACTGTCCCCAGTGTTCAGAGGATCTGACTTAGAGTACTGTTGGACATAGGTCATTGGACTTCTGGGTTGTGAGAGTGCCTGGGAAGCTGCTTATTATTCCTGGTTAATGTCTCTTTTGTTTCAGATATATCTGCTTTAGGAATCTATGAGGTATCAAACCAACTTAGGGATATTTCATTGTTTGAAATGTAATGTAATATTTTCATGGTTGATCACAAGCGTTCTCTCACTGATTGTCAATTTATATGCTTCCAACTGACTTGGCTTATAATTGTTTCAGCTTTGTAAAGTAGCCCCTACAATGCACGAAGTATGTGTGTATAATATTTACATTACTGACTTGGACTTTATTGTGTTTATAAATCTTTTAAAGTTTTCACCTTTTGCTCCTAAGCTACCACTAACTTATTTTTAGAGATGGAGTCCTCTCTCTGTAGGATGAATTCTAACAAGTTTTTCTAATTTGGGGTGCAGCACAGCCAAGTTAGGAAGCTGTCTTAGTAATCAGACATTTCTAAGATGGTCAGCGTGAGATTTCCATTGCATGAGACAGACTCATTTTTCAGGAAAATTCATGTTTTCACATGGTCTTAACAGGTAACAGGATAAACAAACGTGAAGTGGTGTTTCTGTTGAATTTTATTGTCCAGTCATTAATTGTAGCAGTAAAGTTTATATCTTTCCCAAAACCAAAGGAAAACCCTTGAACTGTGAAGTGCTGCTACGAGTTCTTAGGAGCTTCCTAGAAATGTTTTAGCAGCTCCAGTTGCTTTAAATATTTGAATAGAGGCCCATTATCTGGAAACTTTATTTTTTGAGAGTTTAGGAAAGGTGGTGATATGAAGTTTCATTTTGTTTTTCAATTGCTTGGGGAGAGGGCTCAATTTTTAAGGTTTGGGGTTTTTTTTTCCATATTCATGTGTTTGGGAAATAGATAACGATAGAGATGTTATTGTAGTTTTGGGATTCCCTTTATGAATTTTGAGCTCAACATTTTGTGCAGTACCTGGGCAAATACTATGCTAATACTAAATTTGGGTAATTTTATTAGTTCTCTGGAGTCATACATTCTAATTTCCTCTTAAACAGGATCACTTAAGACTCTCTGTTTCTGGTAGTTGGAATAAAAAATACACTACCTCCTACTTTAATTAGCAAACAACTTTTCTTATATTTTGGATACATGTTCCTCATTTATTTGTTTTTAGTGGTGCTGTCTAGATTGTTAGTAACTTTTATCAAGTGATATAATATGTCGATATTCTAGAAGTCAGGTGCATTTCTAGATACTATTTTTATAGGGTTGTTTCTGCCACCGCTTAGTGTGTTTGAGAAATCTGTGAAATGGCTCTCTAGGTCAACATTGGGTGTATTCTTGATGTCAAGAACGTGACAGAGGTTGTAGTGTGGAATAGGTGTTAGCGTCTTTTTCTTCCAGTGTGCGTGTGAGATACAAATTATCTTTAGAGTCACTCATGAGTGATTTTGCTTTTAGTTTAGTTTTGTGCACGTAACTTCTGTGAAAACATCTTGACTCCACAGACATAGGTCTTGCGGTAGTGCTCAAGACTTCCTGTGTAGCATTTAGACCTTTGTATAAAGGATTTTGTACTCTGATACCATTTTTAGGAAATGTTGAAAACTGCAGGTGAGAGAACAAATGAGTGGCAAAATCACAGGTAGAAGAGAGAGGATTTATTTTATTATTTTTTTAAAGTGTTTAATCAGTGTTGGATGAAAAAATTACCCTCTGCCATGTCTGTATGCTTTCTGAGTAGCTGGTCAGTTGGGAACTAGAACTTTTTTTAAAAAAGTATACATTTGATTCAAGCTTTTGGGGAATAACAGGTATCCTGTGTATAATCTGTATTTTGGGACAGATGGTGTTTTAATTTTTAAAAAGCTACCTGCTGTGTAACTTCACACAGAAGTGAAATGCAAACATGTTTAATATAATCCTTTTTCCTTCAGTATGATCATAAAACTGCAGTTTGGTATTGACTTCATTAAACTTGTGCTGATTCTTTTAAGTAGTCATGTCTATGCAGGATTACTTTGCCAGTATATTGGTATGTAAGATTCGTCTAGTGTAGAAGCATTTAATAGTGACAGAACTTTGTTATTATCAATAGATTCTGTGTTCCTCCAAGCAAAACCAGCTTCCAAAGCGTAACTATCTGTTAGGAGCTTTTGCTGATACATCTGTATTGGTTAAGGATAGATGGCTTTATGCCCTTTCAGCATAGCCAAGCTGCCAAAGGATGAGTGAAGACATGTCTGAAGAGGAGATTCCAGTATTAAATAGCACTATACAGCAGATTTGTTTCCTTTTTAAAATTAATTTCTATGCTTGATGCGATTTTGCTGTTGGTGATTTTATTATCCTGCCTTGTTCTTTAAGGAAGAGTACTTGCTCATTTATGAAGTGATTATGCACAAGTCCATTCCGTTGTGGATGAGTGTGCACTTTATGCCCAGAGCGCTTGAGCTGTAATCTTTTTCTAGGAGTACTAAGATACGGAAAACATTGAATAACTTTGTGCTTCCACCATTTGGCATAAAAGGACTTAGAATTCTTTTTCTCATTTTTTTTCTGTCATGAGGATTTGCTTTTTTCTCTACCATTAACCTTGTTCGTATTCATGAATAAAATCAAAACTGTTAAGACTTGTGAACTGGTAAGTTCAACATGCTGCTGCTCCTGGACTTCTTTAGCACAATGTAGGAATTAGTAGCATTTAAACAATGAGCTGCTTGTGATTATCACTCTAGCTTCTGATGTTGTCTCAGGGAAGAGTGTCTATGAGAGAAATACTCCACTTAAGCCTTTTCTTCACAGAAAGAAAGCTGATAAAATACACTTTAAGGAGCCAGCATAATTCTGAATACTTCTGAGATCACCAATTCTTCTTCCATTCTGAATGTGAAACTAGTGTGCTACCTGCAGTATGCTTTGAACCTTTATCAACTTGATACGTACTTCTTTGTTGTAATAATATGCACAAACTTCTGGCGACAGGGAAATCGGTCTTTTAAAATATTTCTGCGTAGAGTATCCTCTTTCCAGTATAGCCTGTTTGTTCCTAGTATTGATTTCTCCTCTATAGAACTGAGCAAGTTGGTAAGGAGGCCCGTGCCTCTTCTGTCCCTGGCAGAAAGCACAAAGATGCAGGCATATATTCCCTATTGGTATGACTTGGAAATAATTCAGCTTGGACAAGGTTTCTTGGTGATAAGAATATATTGGATTATGATAAATGCTTGTCTACACTATCGAAACATTTTGTTTATGTTTTATATCTGTTCTTTCAGATTTGGTTCTGTTACAGTGCTGGCAATTCTCTGACACTCAGTTTGTGCATGAGCCTTGTGGTTTTCTTTTTGGCAGAGACCGAAATCTTCTGCTAACATGGATTTTAAGATCCTATTCCATAGATACTCTGGAGAGAGATACATTCTAATGTAATGTCTAATGTCTCAGGTTCTTAATAGTCCAAGTTCTCACTGAAAGTAGCTGTTCACTAAACACTGCAAGAACAGGACAACACTTCTGGCCTCTCTTCCTTTATATGTGTTTTGGTACCTTTCTAAATTTACAGCAAGTATCAGTAGGAGCTAGTAGATAAAGGTATCATGAGCATGTTGTTCTGGTTCAAAACTAAAATTGCTCCTTATTTTATATAGAGATTTATTGATGAGAAAACATTCTGTCATTAGGTCTTGAAACCATGTAGTTTCTTTTTTTTTTATGCTAGTTTGAACATTGCTTTCATAAGTAGTAGTCTGTAATATTATTCATCCCTCTACTCATTAGCTAGTATACCATCTAAAATCTGATGAATAAATAGAAAGCAAAGTCCTTCTGGGGTTATTTAGGTACATAGTCTTAGTGAATAACATCATATTTCTGTATGAAGAAGAATGACTGTATTGTTTTCTGTTATTTAATATACACAGTGGTGAATTTTTAAAATAAACCTTAACACAAGTTGAATACTGAGAGAATGAGGATACAATGTAATAAAAGTGAAATTTCAAATATGAAAAGCAAGAAGAAAAATTGTGAAATTAGAGGGTTTTTTCTTTCTCTTAAAGACTGTAAGCATAGAAACATACCAGACAATTTATTTAAATTTTTATTTTTGTAGGAGGAATAAACATGGGGTCACCCGTGAGAAGATTGCTCAGATGTTGGAACGATATGAATATCAAATATCCATACCTATTGTCATGAATTCAGTGGTACCTCCCCACAAAAACACTCAAAGGCCACCTCTGCAGCGAAGACATAGGTGGGGAGGCAATACAGACTCATGGAATTCTTTCAGTATTTCCAGTAGCCGATAACACAGTTGCAGTCAGTTAATAAAAATCTGTTACTTGCCCTTCTAAAACACATCATCACCTCCAATAAAGTAGTGGATCTTCTGTATTTTAAATAGGCCTATTTCAAGACCATTTTGTTCTGGAGGTTGTTTCTTTAACAGACTTGCATGTAAATAAAATTGTACATTAAATGTTTTTTAAAACTATATTTATTACAGTTGTAATAACTTTGATCTTAGTGAAATATTTAATATAGTATGACATATAGCAGAGTCTTCCTTCATAAACCTAAGACAATGATATTGTCATATATCAAGTAACTGTTGAGCAGGGTTTTTTTTTAAAGAAGAGGTCGTATTAGATATCTTTTAAAAGAGAAAGCCCCAGAAGAAGAGGTTATTTATGTAATAACCAATTTTAACGATTGTCATTTAGTCATCTTATCTTTTAGGAAATTTTTTTGAAAACAGTTATGTCCTGGATTGTCCTTTTGTTCTATTTGGCACGTATTGCCAATTGGCAAAATTTTGGCATGTATTTTCTGGTTTCAGTTGTGGTGTTTGGTTTTTTTTGTCTCAGAAGCTCATGATGCAGCTGAAGCAACATTCTGTCAATACAATACTCACCAGCCTTAAACTGTGCAACCTGAATTATTTTTTCACTTGTTTGTTCTCAGTGGTAGTATATAAACTATGATGGTGGCTGCATACCACCAACTTTTTTGTGCTGACTAAAAAAACCTAAATTTTATCACTAAAACCCAAAAATTTCATAGCTATGTCTTTCTAAATCAATTTCTTTCATTTACGATAAAAATGAAGTATTAAAGCATTAGGCTGTCAAGTCCCAGTCCACAGTTGGGATGCATCAATTCAATATAAATAGTGGATATAATTCTGTAAAACCATGTTGCGTTCCTAATTTTGGCACAGCCAATGTTATCTGTTTAGCACATAACAAACAATGAGCCAGCATGGAGATTGACTAATTTACTGCCCTTTTTCTCTTAAAAAATGATGAATTTGTAAGTTTTCACTTTGCTTGCTTTCTAACAGCTTGCTGAATTAATAAAATATATTTGTCTTCAGTGTTGTTTTAGTAGTTCAATGCAACAGTTTTTATTTTACTTCAAGCTTGTAGGATTTTATGCAGGTGAGCATTATTACTAACCTGCTAGCTGAAGTAAGTTATCTTCAGGTCTAACTACATTTGATTTCCTTATACACTGAATGAGTAAATCCTGAATAGGAAATTTTGTCAAGAATGTGAGTACGTAGGTAAAAGAATTTTCATGGTTTTCTATTACTAATTTGGTGTAATAGCCATCAGAATTTTGAAAATTCCAAAGCCAGCATAATTTTTTTTACTTACAGACAATTTTTGAATAGGCCCTAAAAATTACTTCATCTTTAAAGTCTGAATACCATGAAAGTTGAAAATCCAGGTATATAATGAAGTATCTTTCTGTGGTTTTCTACACCTATTGTGCAAATCTAAATTTGTACAATTTAATGTATATCTGCAATAACATTTTCATAAGAGATTCTATTAACTGTAAAAGTTGAAGTGTGCAGTTTCACATTTTAGTAATTGTTTTAATTATTTGAAAAATAACTTAAAATGCTTCAGTAGCGCATGGATTGTTAATATATTGAATTATGTGTATATATAAAAAAAAGAAGCTCTCCAACTATATTAACTTTCTTCCCTCATTGTCTGTTATTCATACCAATTATGTTACTGTATTTTAGTGTTCATGGTTATCTTTTTCCATGTCTCAAAAGAATCATGGAAATCATTGTAAATGGTCAGTAATACTTTAATTATCCCAAAGTTTTTATATTCAAACATGAAAGCATATTTCAAGTGGGAGGAAGATAAAAAGGTTTTAGAAAGACTCATTTTATTTACTCTATATTACTTTAAGCCATAATAAATTGATAAAATTTATTGAGGCTTTATGTAATATTCACACAATGTGCTAAGGTATGACAAAAAAGAGCTGATTATTGAAAATTGATGTTATGATATCTTTTGGTACCTTCTGTCTTCAGTTTTTAAAGGAAATGGATTTTTTTAGCAATATTTAATTGATATCTAAGTTCTCTTTAACTGAAATTTGTATTTAAACAGATGTGAATTCATACTATTATAAAATGATGCGGCATTTTTTGGTGTTATCTTTTTAATAAATTATTGGTGGATGGTGAGTATTTTTGATATGCAGAGCATGTTGATCGATAATAGGCTTGCAGTTTGCAAAGGACACATAACAAGAAAGGAATGCTTTGCAACTGCACTGTATCAAACATTTATTGTAAACTGCTTAATCTATAAAGCTGTATTCCAAGGTAAGTACAATGACATGGTAGGTGAAAACACAATGGAATTACTGTCTGTGTAACACATTTTTGTTTCATGGTATAGTAATGTTTCATGAGGATATGACAGTCACGGTTATATGTATATCTCAGACAGAAGTTGCTCTTACACTACAATATTTATATGTAAAAATAATAAAAAGATGATGTGAAATACGTGTTGCAGGTATTGAATTTCTCCTGCTCCCTCACAAATGAGGAAAATTACTTATTTTGTCAAAAAGTATGTACAAGAAATGTAAGAACTCACTGTTAGTTAGACTGGGGATCTAAAAAATCTGGCATAGTTTTTATACAATACACCTGTTGATGATGATAATGTACCTAGAATGAAGGTTTCCTGTTGTTTTAGAATTTTAGTAAATTGCTAGTTCATCATATTTCATGAAATAATAGTGTCAGATTTTTTTTTTAAATCTAACTAATGCATAGAACCTTAATGTTATGAATGCACATTCTAACTATCTGCTGCATACTTCAAACTAGTGAGATGTTTGCTAAGTAAATTTAAACAGAGTAGTTAAGATACTCAGCTATAGTTTTAACATCCTAGTCTTCTAAGGATGAAATTTAAATGAGAATTAATTTGCAGAACATACATAATTTGGTTCATATAGTTGACCAGTTAGCATCAGCTATATAGGATTATGTGTTGCTATAGAAAAAAATAGTTTTGGTTTTACTGCTTCATCTAAACTGCTGTTTCTTGTTTGATTAGTTTACTTCCTGAATTATCAACAGTTTTCATCAGCCTTGTCTTTGACGGATTATTTAGTGTTCTTATTTTTCTTTTGTTTGGAGAAGAAAAAAGAACAGAAACAAACAAAATAAAAAAACCAACAAACCAAAAAAACCCACTGCAAAACCCACAAACCCAAACCCTGGAAGACCTATGTGCTGGTTTTGGCTGGGGTAGAGTTAATTTTCTTCATAGTAGCTAGGATGGGGCCATGTTTTGGATTTGTGCTGGAAACAGTGTTGATAATACAGGGATGTTTTTGTTATTGCTGAGCAGTGCTTACACAGAGTCAAGGCCTTTTCTGCTTCTCACACCACCCCACCAGCGAGTAGGCTGGGGGTGCACAAGAAGTTGGGAGGGGACACAGCCGGGACAGCTGACCCCAACAGACCAAAGGGATATCCCACACCATATGACGTCATGTTCAGCATGTAAAGCTGGGGGAAGAAGGAAGAGGGGGATGTTCGGAGTTACGGTGCTTTGTCTTCTGAAGTAACCGTTACGCGTGATGGCGCCCTGCTTTCCTGGAGATGGCTGCACCCCTGCCTGCCGATGGGAAGCAGTGAATGAATTCCTTGTTTTGCTTTGCTTGCCTGTGCTAATTTTGCTTTTCCTATTAAACTGTCTTTATCTCACCCCACGAGTTTTCTCACTTTTACCCTTCCGATTCTCTCCCCTCTCCCACCAGGGGGGAGTGAGCGAGCGGCTGTGTGGTGCTTAGTTGCTGGCTGGGGTTAAACCATGGCAACCTAATGTGACACTTTTTTATTTTTATTTTATGTTAAATGATCCGTGAGGAATTCTGTCTTCTGTTCTTGTAGTCATGTCCTCTTTAGGTTCATTTTAATCTGGTTTGCTGTGCTGCATAATTTTTTTAAGCTTTTTGTCTTTAAGAAGAAAGCCAAGATTTTGTCTTTTGTTATCTATCTCTTGAAACCTTTTGCAGAGATGGTAGTTTTTCTTCATTTCTCTGCTAGATAATAGATAACTGAAAACCAGGCTTTGTCTAGCTGAGATGGGGCCCATAACATTTATATTTGATTGTTTTGTGTCTGTCTTTCCTGATGTAATTTAGACTGTGTTGGTATTTTCTTTGAGCTGACCAGTAGGATTCATTTTCAGTGAATTAGAAAAAAAATTACTTTTGTATTTTCACATTCATGTGTGATATCTGTAGTTTCAACTGCTGCTTCCTCCTAGCAATCGAGTTTTCTGGAAGAAATGTTCTCCCTCTGTGCTGGTACATCATGGAGATGAGGTGATTAGGTATACGTTGAGAATTGAGGGTTTTCCATACAAAAGAACAGAGACGTATTTCAATTCCCAGTAAAGAGCAATAAGAAGACATAGTGTTTAAATGCAGTTCATGAAATTAAGTACTCAATTTAAAAGAGTGATCAGATGCTTCATATAGGTCGGATGTGGAAATATTTCAATTCAGTGTTTCTACAGTGACACTTCCTCATTTCAATGTTTTATGTTCTCATCCTTTTGAAATAAAAGCAAGAGCAGAGATTAAAGCTCTTTGGTAATCATTTCCTAGATGAGAATCTACTTGGTACATCAATTAATTTTGGTTTTTTTTTTTCTTTTTATAGGCTAATTGGTTGAAATGAGCTGTAAATCTGCTTATTTTGAGTTCACAGAAAAATATGTGAAAACATAGCTGGTCTTTTAGGTATTTAGATGATAAAGTAGTAACAGTTTGTCAAGGTCAGATCATCTCAGATATGTCTGATTTATTTCTGTAGTAATGGAGAAGCAGCAAGTGGTGGTTTTAGCTTGAGATAGACTGTCAATGTCATTCTAGACCAAGGATAATAAAAGCATTGAAGTATTGCATCTG